AACTGATTATTTTTGAAAACTTTGCCACCCTGTATCTCAAAAGTTAAGGCGTTTAGGACATACGTCCATAGGAAGTTTTTTTCTTAAAATGGGTCTAAGAATAACCTCCTTAAATATTAGCATGTGTTTAAGGAACACCCTGTATATCTGACCAGATTTTCAGTAGAACCACAATATAGCAATCATTTTAGTAACACCAAACTACATTTCTAGTTAATTTTGGAACATATCCTCATCATCTGTATGCTTCTGATTCTTAACAGCTTCACCAAGTACCTGAATGGTGTTGAATATCACAAACAAATACAAACTCCTAATATTTCCAATGAGATTTTTCCACGTCGAACAACTTTAGAAGTTTAAGAAAATCATAAACTTTCATGTCCAGCGTCCATTTCGGTTATCGGAGTGTTTGATCAAGGGTCAAACAGTAATGAAAAACACGTAATTGTTATTGTTTTAAAAAAATGAGGTGGTATTGGCCTCAAACTTTAAACGAATTTATCCCACCTAATTCACAGCTCAAATGAATATCCTCACCGAAGTTGCATATTACGCAAACCAATTAAGAGTTTCGAAAAGTTCGTAGTATTGAAGAAACTGGAAAAATAAACGGAAATATGTCTTTTGCTACTTAAGCGACCGCTGAATGAGTAGAACCGCTCTGCCTTTCTCTACAGCTTTCACTACAAGGCGTATCTCAAATACGGTCGATGTCGAAGTTCACTCATAGCTTCTCGATAGACCGCCAAAGACCGACAAGCAAGGTTTGAGTTAGGTGACTGAATCGGTCAATACATAATGAAAATGCTTAACGTGTATGGAAGACGTCTGAAGAAGCTATTGTCTAGTGACTAGTGGAAAAAGTTTTGTAAACAGTTTAATAAAAATGTCACAAAGTGATACTTATAAGGTTAAAGTTTTTGTCGATTCCATAAATGAAGTCTTTGTGGGGAGTTGTCCATGCCTACTTAACTTCGGCTTGCCTTCGAGGACCACTGAGTCCAAAATGTAATCGTGATTCAGCCTAGCACCACTTATGAGACCTATGGCACATATTAAATCTGTGCTTATGGAAGAAAGAAACAGCGCTGCCTGGGCGCCGATTTCAACCATAGAAAAACATGAAAATGAATGTACAGGTGTTCAAGAAATATGCGCTGTTGTTGATTATGTCCAGACATGTTGAAACTTTTATTATTGGCTTCTGGAATGTCACTTTGAAGAGTTTTGAATTAGAAGAGATATATTGTCCTTTAGGTCAAAACCAGCTCATTTCTCTCAAACAACTCGTATTTGCCTACATACTGATTTACTGTTGATCAAACCCTGTGAAAGCCGAGATGGAGGTTACTGGAAGTTGTATTTTATTGACTATTTCTAAGATTTATTTTCATAGATACTTAATATCAGGTTACCGTATTGTAACAAATTAAAGAATTAACTGTCTTAAACAAATTTATTTCCAACAATATTTCACTAATCACAAACTAATTTATTTACAACACTTAGCAACTAACGCTTGATTTATTTACACTATTTGAATTTCTTGTTTAGCCGCTCGATTCACTTTCTGAACTGCCCTCTTGGGTCGCGAAGCCGGGCTTATATAATGTAATGTTTTTTTCTAGAAATCTGTAGTCGGTTCGGTACTCAACTACAATTTTACCGGAGCGGCGGTTGCCGACTGCATTCTTTCGTGGTGATGTTATGTGTTTGCTACATGATTCGGCCGGTTTACTGGTCAGAGGCGGCTTCAGATTCGTTACAGTATTATTATTCTTGCTATCTGATTACAAATTAAGACAAATTAGTACCTCCATTATTACATTCTAATGAGTTCATATAAAGCAATTTGTGTTCTTCTATTGAAAACTTTATCAGAGGTTGGTAGGAATTGACAGAATGGCTATCAAAATTTCGGACGGAATAAAATTTAAAAATTGAAGGAATGAACCGAAATTCCGTTTTATTTTGTCATTACAAAGGCTAAATTCCTGAGAGATTAGAATCGCTGCCACTGTTATCACTGTAGTTGTTATCATCACTGTAGCTGTCATCATCACTCATCACCCCATGAATTCATAATTATATTGTCAAAAGCTAAATGAACAGGTTCTTGAGGAATGAAACTAGTCGAATCGTTTAATGTTCGCATCGTTTCTTTCATTTTTCCACAGAAAACGACATGAGGAAATCGTCACACATGCCTTCAATTTAGGTATACATTGCATTAATGATGCACTTACTAATTCGATGTGGTTTAAATCGGTATGATAAGGATGCAGTCTTGATATGTGAGTCCATGAGTTTCCATTATCCCATAAATTGCATACACTTCACATAATGGTTTTTAAATTGCCAGTATAGAATACAGATTTATTTTGA